CAAAAGGGGTTCATTCGAGAGAGCAAGAGTACTTGCGCTATCCTGGCCTTGTGGACACCTAAAAAGAATGGGACTTGGCACATGTGTGTAGATAGTAAAGCCATTAACAAGATCACAATCAAGTACCACTCCAATTTTGCGGTTACTTGATATATTAAATATGTTGGCTAGTACTTATGTGTTTTGAAAGATAGACTTCAAGAGTAGATACTATCAGATCTTTATTCGACCCAAAGATCAGTGGAAAACTGCATTCAAAACCCGAGAGGCCCTTTATGAGTCGTTGGTGATGTCATTTTTCCTCTGATGAGTCAAGTGTTCAAGCCTATTATTAGGAAATTCGTAGTAGTATAGTTTGATGATATTCTAGTAAACAGCGTTGGTGATCAGGTGGTGTTTGACTTGTTACAGGAACAACAGCTATATGTGAATCTTAAAAAGTACGAGTTTATGACACAGCCTAATCTTTCTTGGCTATGTTGTTTCAATCGAGGAGACTAAGGTTGACCAAAGGAAGATAGCAGTTATCCGGGATTGGCCTACTCCTTCTACAAGGCATGATGTTCTCATTTTCATGGTTGGCTACTTTCTACAGGAGGTTTATCAAAGGCTTCAATTCGATCATAGCACTCATCACAGATTGTCTGAAGAAAGGGGGATTTGTGTAGACTGATGAAGCTGAGAAAAGTTTTCAATTGGCGAAGCAGAAAATGACTAAGCATCCATGTTAGCGCTTCGAGTCTTTGATAAAGTCTTTGCAATATAATTCTTCGCATCTTGGATTGGTGCAGTTTTAAGCCAAGAAGTTCTCCATATAGCCTTCTTTAGTGAGAAGTTGAATGATATTTGTCGAGGGTATTCTACTTATGATGTGGAGTTTTATACTATTATTCAAGCCTTAAGGCATTGGTAGCACTACCTAATTCAGAGAGAATTTATTTTGTTCTCAAATCATGAAGCATTGGAGTATATTATAGGCAACATAAACTAAATCAACAACATGCTTGATGGGTAGTCTATTTTCAGGAGTTCACTTTTGTTATTTAGCATAAGGCAAGCAGTCATAATTGAGTAGCAGATGCTTGAGTAGAAGATCAACTTTATTAACTACCATGACGACTGTTATTACGGGATTCCAGTTTATGAAAGATATTTATGCAGATGATGATGACTTCATGGAGATATGGGACTGATGTTGCAATGATGTCAATGGGGGGAAACCGTCTTTGTATCCCTGCAGGTTCCTTTAAAGAAACCCTAATAGTAGAGCTTCATGGGGGAGGTCTTAATGGACATTTTGGTCAAGACAAAACTATGATGGAGTCTAAGTACTACTGGCGAAAATTGAAGGGCTGTGTTGTGTTGTTTGTTGAGAGGTGTTGTGTGTGTCAGCTAGCTAAGGGGCCAACAATAGAATACAAGGCTTTATTCTTCAATTCCTATTGCTAATGCACCTTGGAAAGATGTTAGCATGGATTTCATGCTAGAACTTACGCAGAATCAAAGTGTATGAATTCTATATTAATGGTGGTGGATAAATTCTAAAATATGACCCATTTTATACCTTGCAAGAAAACCTGAATGCAACGCATGTTGTTAACTTGTACTTCAAAGAGGTGGTGAGGTTGCATGGTATTCCAAAGACAATAACTTTAATCAGGGTACAAAGTTTCTCATCTATTTTTGGGGAACTTTGTGGAAGAAATTGGGCACTCGGTTACAGTTTCACAGTGCTTATCAGCTACAGACAGTTGGCCAGACTGAAGTGGTAAACCATACTCTTGGCAATCTTCTAAGAAATATTGTATAGAAAAGAAGAGATAGTGGGATCTAGCACTGCCTCAAGCCGAGTTTGCCTATAACAATGTTCACAATAGATCTACTGATAAGAGTCCGTTCGAGGTGGCATATGGGAAAAACCCGACTTATTCACTTGACTTGGTTCCTATCCAAGCCAATGGGGAGGATCATGCTAACATTGAGAATTTGATTGACTAGGTGAAAGGAGTGCATGAACAAATGTGTGCTAGTCTAGAAGCCAATACAGCCAAATACAAGGACGCAGCGAAAAAGCATCGCCATTTCAAGGAGTTTAATGTAGGAGATTGGGTAATGATGTATCTCATGAAGGAACGAAATCAAGTGGGAAAGTACATCAAGCTAAATGATCCCAAGGAAAGACAATTCAAGATTTTGAAGAAGATGGGTAGCAACGCATACATGGTCACTTTGCCTTCACATATAGAACCTTCAAACATCGTCAACATTGTTGATCTATTAGAGTATTGTGGTCCAAAGGTGTATGAATGGGAAGATACAAACTCGAGGGCGAGTTCTCTTCAACACGGGGAGAATGATGATGAGTAGAACACTGCGAGTAGTCATAAGTATCTTCTTTGGAAGTGACATATTCCTCTTAAAGATCACTCATATATGGACGATGAAAACCCTAGGAGGGCTTCCAAGAAAAATAAGAAGAGCAAGTATTAGTTTCAATAGTTTTTTTAGATGTTTTGAGGCTATTTCAGTTTTTTTTGTTTATATCATTACTAGACTAGTTAGGGACTTTTTAAACGTTTTCATTAAAGTCAGGGAGTTTAAAAAATTTGAAGTTGTACTTAAGTTAGGACCTTTTAGTAAAAAGTTTAATTATATGGACAAATATTGTCTAAAACATTAAATAAACAATATTTAAGTGGGGCGCGGATGGCTAAATCCCCCCTCATTATTCACAAGTTTCTTAGCCCCTCTCTCCTAACTCTCTCTCCCCTCCACGCCCCACTCTCTCTCATCCTATCTTCTTTTTAAATCTCTCTCTCCTCTCGCCCTAGGTGGTGCACCACCCATAAGAAAAAAAATAAGGGTGGCACACCTAAGCCTAATTAGGGTTTGAGGAGAAAGAGGTAAGCCCAGCTCTAGAAAGGGATGTGCCTTCATGGTATTCCCTAGTTTATGCTAAAGGAATTTCACAAAACCCTAATTTCTTTTTATGTTGTCTAAAACCCTAGTTTAAGAGGTATTGCTTAAGGAAGCTTTCTGGCTCTGAAAATTCAGCAAGACCAAATGCATTGAAGTGCCATCAATCAGGAAATCGGTTGTGAGGTGTATTAAGTTCTATGGGGGTGACCCCAGGCATAATCCAATAAGTCTTCCAGTCTATTTTGTTTTGTTTTCAGTTTTGTTATATTCTGAATTTTCAGGAACATCATTTTAACTTTAAGTGCTAGTGGTAGTTTGGTTTTTATTCCTGATTGTGTTTATTCATTTTGGAAATAAAAGGAAAGGTCTTAGGTTGCATTTAGGGTTTTAATTTTCATTCATAGCAGTATATTGTGGCACTTATAAGTCTAACTCAGATTCAATGATAAAAGAAAAGACGAAAAATTCTTATTTTATAGCCTTGAACTCCACATGGCCACATCTTTTAGTATAACCCTGTATACAGTCTAACTAAAGCATAATAAAACCGTGACACGTATAGAGATTTTACAATATTCAAATATTCATATGAAATAGAGACAATGCATGCATTGGTAGTTTGGACAAGAACAAAGAAAACTTGTTTGAAGCCCCATAACCAATCATCCAGCATGAAAAGCCAACAGAATAAAATATAGATATTTTTGCTTAGCTCAATAAACATATTTAATAACCTGAAAAGGATATTCCATTGGAAAAATGGAAAATTAGTTGAAGCCACTTGGAATTTATTCAGTAGGGAGTAGGCATCAATCGCTGCGATGTAGAGAGAGCAGTGAAATTAAGACTAAGAGTGGTCCAAAATTGCCACATCAGACCAGCAAAGGATGAACCACTGATTGGGTCGCTGGTCCTGAAATGGGGTCTGAACAGGCATCGAACTGTAGAATATCCTGTACCGGCCAGTTCAACTAGTCGAGACCAAACTGGCCAGTCCCAAAGAGCTACAACAATAACCAAAACTGACATTTTTTCTCATTTTTTGACATTTTGGGTCATTTTTTAACTTTTTGTCTCTCAATATGATGAGGGGAAATCTGGTAATTTTTACCACTTGGTTAGATTTTGGGTTTAAAAACTGGGTTGTTAGAGAGAGAGATCTTTTTGCATTTTCAGGTTTTATTTTGAGATAAAAATTGATTTTTATTTTTTATTTTTTATTTTTTGGGATGTTTAATACTTCAGTGCATGCATGGAAATTGTTTTGTAGTTAAAATTTTCTATTCTTTATAGTATTTTCAATTTTGTTTATATTGATGTCGAAATGAATAATTGATCCTTTTTTGTATCAAAGACTTCGTAATTTCATATTCATTCAATATTTTTCTGCAAAAGTAAGGGCTATCTTTAATGTTTTATTCTTATGTGTACTTGTGTAGGTCCGTAGTAAAACGTATACAGAAAATATAAGTTTCCAATAGCCAAGGGCATTGTGTTTGTGTCTTTATTTTTTTTGCTTTTTTTTTCTTTTCAAAGAGGTTATCTTTTTTCGTTTTTTCGTTTTTTTGTAGCATTGATTCTTTTCAAGTATGATTGTGAACTGCGGTTAGTGCCAATTTATTTGATAACCAAGAAGGATGGATCTAGGTGGATTTGTGTGGATAGCATGACAATCAACAAAATAACTATGAAGTAACGCTTCCCAATCCCGTGGCTTGAAGACAGGCTTGATATGCTAGCAGGCTCAAGGTTCCTCTAAAATTCACTTGAAGAGCGAGTATATAAGCTGCATGAGCTGTTCGCATCAGTATATAGAATACAATCTGGAAGATTGGTAGAGCTCATTAGGGCATAAGCTACATGAGCTGTTCACATCAGGATATAGAATTTTAAAGGAACTGGTGGAGAAAAGAAGTACGCATCAATAAGTGATTCCTAATGATACCCAAGAAAGAACAGCAAGAGATCGTTCACCATTCGATTCATAAGAATATCAGCACAATACAGTCTCACCAGAATGAACATGAACGAGGTAAGTTATGCCCCAGACTACAAAAATAATGACAAAAACATCAACCAACCTCACATGATTGGCAATCATAATGGGATCAAGATCACAGCGAACATCTTTCAAATCAGGAGACCATTTTGCCGACAAAATCCCAGTAACAATGACATCATCTGCAAAAACGGATCATGAAAATGCAAATAAGTGCAGTACATTACAACTCAAAATAAAAAGATAAACAGAACTAAACACAAAAGATTAGATTAGTACGACAGAATCATGCAAATCATTGGAATTTAGATGACAATCCAGTTTTGGAGGACAGCCAAAGAAGTGCAATAAAATTTCTCTCACAGCATGTGTTATGTGAAATTCCTTGCATGGTTTACATTACAGAACATAGAACATATTGTTACTCAGGAATCCATCATATTAATTAATGAAACAAGTGTATGAAGCATAATCTGGAAAACAGAAGACCGCGAAATGCCCCAGTAACATTTTATGCTTGAAGCATCATCATAAAAATGAAGAAAGATGACTTCCAGTTAAATGAGATACAGACATATACATACATTGCAATATCCGTAAAGAAATCAACCTTTATTTTATTGATTGAAATATTCATAAAGAACTCAACCTTTTTTATATTTTTTTTCTATAATACTTTTCTGTAATTTCTAAACAGTTTTACTAAATAGTCGTTTGGTCGTTCTCTATACCAATTTTCTTGAATTGTCGTGTGGTTATTCTGTAATCCATTCCTTAAGTATCACTTAGATATGGAGTGTGATCTCTTGAATGCCACTAAATGTTCAGTACGGCAGTGCCATTTTAGAATTAAATCATCTTGACAGGGAAGACTTCCAATTGAACAAGATATGAATGCATATAAATCTCCATTAAGTATCCAAAAAGAATCTTTTCAATTATAGTATATTCAGGTATAAATAAAATCATATGTTTCTTGTATAAATAAGAGACATAACATATGCACAGGTTAGTATCTTGGCAGTAAAAGAAAGGTAAATTTTCCATGGACAGGGCAGTCAAATTTCTACATCATTTTGGACCCCCAAAAAGAATATCCATTTGTTGATGATAGCTTCCACTCAAACTATGACTCTAGACCCTCCATTCATTGGTGACACGATCTACAGTTTTAAGAGCTCAAAAAAAAAAAAATTTGAATTGATCGCAAAGTGGATCAAGTGCTAGTTGCAAAAAGTAGTCCTACAAATCCAATTGATATAGTTTTCAGCTGGTCCATCAACACCGTCGAAATTGAAAGCCTCATCCACTGGGAATGTTTCCTTGAAAGGGTTTATCAAAGATTAGGAAGTTAATTTTTCTAGATAAATAAAGCAACTCCTTCAGAATGCACTTAGAAATATCCATTAGAATTTGCTACTCAAATATTACGTTGAAATACTTTACCCCCAGCTTTAACAAGGTCAACAAGATCATCTTTCAGAATGACGGGAATTGAGCGAGGAATAGATCCGACACCCACAACCTGCACACTTTCTTGGATTTTCATCTCCTGATAATCATGACATATTATGCTGTCTTCCACGTATTGGAAAACTGTATTTGAGCATGGCTTCTACAAGAGAACAAAAGGGGAACAGGCATTAGCCATGAATGAATGAACTTCATAGCAAGCAACAGCCAAGATGGGGGATTTATAGCATTCCAAATAATCCAAGAATACAGTGATACAATATACTATCTATCAAAGGACTAGAAGTCACAGAAAAACATGACATATACTCAACTAGCAAAGAGTGAAGTAATTATATTATAAAGCAATGGCTCTTTGGTTGAAGTAATTATATCTTTAGGCAATGGCTCTCAAGTTGAATTTACAAGAAAAACTTCCAAACCATGAAAGCCAAAGATGGTGGCAAAGCCTTACAACTAGAACCAAGCGCAAAGCAAGAAAAGCATAGGCTTACTAGTAAGGTTTCTTATAATCTTATAACGACAAGAGATAAGGAATGTGATGCAAATAAAAATTATAGTTATCATTTTATTTTATTTTTTTAATGGATTAATTTTTGTTTTAGGAATTGGGGTGGTGTGAGTTTCTTTTTATGTGGTTAGGAAGTTGGGTTTTTAGGATAAGTTAAGGCTTGGTTGGTTTTAATGAGATAAGGATAAGTAAAGCTTGGTTGATTTGAATAAGATAAGGGAGCCTTGATTCATGAGCTTCACATATGAGAGTGTTGGTTAGGATATGCAAAGAGAGAGTACGTTAGCCTCATTGATTCATGGGCTTCACATATGAGAGAGAGAGAGAGAGAGGTTCACGAGATGGAAAAGGAAGATAGAGGGCAGTGTTGGGGAGAGAAGAAAATGGAACTCTAGGTAGATAGATATGGGGAAAATCGTAGAAGAGAGATAAATGTATTCTTTTATATTTATTATTATTATTATTATTATTATTATTATTATTTCAGTTGTATTTAAAGGGCAAAGACCCCTTCTTTGTATAGAGATTGGAATTGGGTAAAGAATTTAGGTCTTGCGAAAAGATCTTTAGGGTGGACTCTCTTGCAGACCTAGAGAAAGGGTATATTCTCCCAACTTTTTTTTTATTTTTATTTTTATTATTCTGGTTATTATTTTCTCTCAGCATTAGTTAGTATCAGAACCCTGAGATCCATGCTGATTACAAACAACTAATGATCAAGTTACAGAGCCTCTAGATCAAATATTTGAGCGATTGGATCAAAGATTTCAGAGACTCAAAGAAGGCCTAGTAGAGCGTATTAGCAAAGTAATAGAATAAGGTCTATGAGGTCAATTTCATAGATTGCAATCGCAAGAAGAAGAACATGAAGAGGGAGGAGATCAAGAATCAACCACCAATCCAAGCAATAATCACACATCACAGCTTTCTTCAAAAGTTGAGTTGATTAAGAGTCATGAAATACAAGTGGTGGAAGGTGCAAGACATTTTGGCATCAAAAATGATTTTTTAAGCACATCACGACTTCGTTCGACTAGGATCAACAATTCACCATGGCAAGGATGAAATTTTTCAGTTGGAATAGAGTGGAGAAGATAATGAAGGAAATTCCATATTCCAAAGTGGAGCTTCCCCAGGAGAATGATGCAAATAAAAATTGGGGTTATCGAAATTTTATTTTACTTTTTTAATGGATTAATTTTTGTTTTAGGAATTGAGGTGGCATGTGTTTTTTTTTATGTGGTTAGGGAGTTGGGTTTTTAGGATAAGTTAAGGTTTGGTTGGTTTTAATGAGATAAGGATAAGTTATGCTTGGTTGATTTCAATAAGATAAGGGAGCCTTGATTCATGGGCTTCACATATGAGCGAGTTGCTTAAACTATGCAATGAGATAGAATGTGAGCCTCCTTGATTCATGGGCCTCACATATGAGAGAGAGAGAGAGAGGTTCACGTGATGGAAAAAGAAGAGAAGGAAGTGTTGGGGAGAGAAGAAATAGGAAATCTAGGTAGATAGATATGGAGAAAATCGTAAGAGAGAGATAAATGTATTTTTTATATTTTCTATTTTTACTATTTCAATTGTATTTTTTTATTTTTTTTTAGTGTTAACAAAAATATTATTAGAATAGTTAATGAGAGTCCCCTGGTGGGCGAGACTCTCTACAAAAAAGAATAGGCCTACTGACCCTATACAAAATGTATTTAAAGGGGAAAGGTCCCCTTTAAATATTTTAAATACTATTTCAATTGTATTTAAAGGGGAAAGGTCCCTTCTTTGTATAGAGATTGGAATTAAGTAAAGAATTTGGGTCTTGTGAAAAGATCTTTAGGGTGGACTCCCTTGCAAACCCAAAAGGAGGGTATATTCTCTCAAACTTTTATTTTATTTTTGTTTACTTTTATTTTATTTTTGTTTTTTAGTTTATTATTATTTCACTCCCTTGCAGACCCAGAAAGAGGGTATATCCTTTCAAACTTTTCTCTTATTTTTGTTTTCTGGTTTATTGTTATTTCTCCCTGCATCATAATGTATTATAAAGATCACAATAGTTCTGAATTTCTATAGTACAATATTGGGGTTTGTGGCCTTTAAAGGCCGTGAGAGTATGTAATTAACATTTATAGTGGATTATACACTTCAGTGGGAACGTGTGATGTTTAACTAACCAAGGGTTAGGTAGTCTATGGCCCGGGTCATGTTTAAAACCCTAAACCTTGAGCATGTGATACTACCAAAACGTCATCCCTTATTGAGACCAAAGAGATGCCCAGGGTTGGATTGTAGGCTAGAATAGTGGGGTAGTCTCCTATGTACGGATATAAGCCTGTAAGAGCAAGGGCTAAATCAATCCCCAATAAACTTCCACACGGCATGTACATATGACAGCCACACTACTGGGAAGCAACCTTGAAAAAGGGATATGTGTACATGTGCATAGAGAGAGTCCCCCTTGCACTATAGTGACATGCGCTTGACTTGTGCTTAAGGGGGAAACTGTAATTCATTTTCAGGGATCATGATTTCATTGTTTATTGGCCAGCTTCACGAGTCAATCATGAGCTCCTACATGAGACTGTGTGCTATAAGTTTTGTTGGGTTGGTTTGAAAAGACAGTTGTGGATCACAGTTACTGGGTCGCGTGGAGTGCCCTTACAATCACTTATTTTGACCCACAGGTACCAATCTACTTTCAGATATTTTATTTTTAATATTAGAAATATGCTTATGAATTTTTGAAATTTGTCAAAAATTTTAAAATAAATTTTTGTTGTAAATTCTTTGAAAAGGGTCTTTCTGAAAATTTTGTAGTGTGCAAGAGTACATGTGGGCCCCTTGGATCCAACCCCACGTGTACCACACCCCATGGGAGGGTGGAGCGTGGAGTCCATGACGCCCACATGTCACCTCTAGAGTTGGCATGCCCCTCTACTTTCTTGATTTACAACTTTTGTTTTAATTAAAATATGTTTTTAAGTTAATTAAATAATATTCTAAAATAAAAGATTATGTGTGCCTATTTTGTGGGAGTTATTTTAATATAGATTTGACCAAGATATTTTATTGACTTCCTATAATTTTAAAGAGACAAATAAGGAAGTTCTACAAGGATTTTAGATTCGTCTAAATCCTAATCAGACAAGAAGTGGACATGGGTCCAATATTAAAGGGATTAAATTCTAAGATTAAATTTCTAATATTCTTCCATAAACCATGCTGGCTAATTTATGGGATGGATAGCTTAGATTTATTTCTCTCTCACCCCACAAATTTTCTAAATTCCTATTGGTCAAGGTGAGTCGTAAGGAGGGACCCCCTCCATGCTCCACACAATTCCCACACCTCTCTCTCTCTCTCTCTCTCTCTCTCTCTCTCTCCCCTCCATGCCCCACTGTCATCTCATCTCTCTGACTCTCTCTCTTCTCTCACTAGGTGGCACGCCACCACTACGAAAAAAGGGAGCAGCATTGCATGACCCTATCTAGGGTTTGAAGAGAGATGACCCAACCCTAGGAAAGAGAGGTTCCTTTGAAGCATGCCCTAATTTGTTCCAAATGAGTTCTAAAGATACCCTAATCATCTTTTATTCTCTCTAAAACCTTAGTCTAAGAGGTATTGCCTAAGAAAGTTTCCCAGCTTTAAAAATTCTCTCATGGGGTTTGACATCACCCCCACATCACCCTCTACATGGGACTGACGTGGGACCCCCTAGGCCTCCACGTGGACACCCATAGGCTATTTGGGTGTCCCATGCGGGTCCCAAGGAACTGTCCTTGTTTGTCATTTTGCAATCATAGTTCTGAAAAACTCATTTTCTTGCTCAAAAAATCCGAAAAATTCTCAAAAATCCACAAGAATAATTTTAATCATTTTCCATCAAAATAAATCATTATAACACTGTTTAAAAATATTTACAAGGGAAATTAGGATCAAATGGAGTTGAATTAGGAATCAGAATACTCTAATCGGCTAGAGCTAGAATCCAAAGCCACCTTCTAAGTATGATCCAATAAACTCATGACCCACAATGTATAATCAGGGGCTCATGATATAGCTTATCAAAGTCAAACCAATGAGTAACCTTGAATCCTCAAGTACTAGTGGATTTTAAGGCACCCCCTAGAGGACATGCACACAACATGGTGCGGCAGTTCCTTTCTTGGCACATGTGCATACTTACCAGTGGATCCCTGGAAGAGCGTCTTTTCATGCATTGCGACTATTTGTGCATATGCTACGAGAACGTTCTACGAGTCAGGGATTTAGACCAATGCCCTCGATTCACCCTGACCTTGCCATAAGGGCTATTTTATCATCGAGCTCATATTATCAATCACATAAATCACATCGCCCTAACACAGTCATGAAGCTCAAAACATAACAACAGACCCTGACTTAGAGGTAACACTCCACCCTCTCGGTACCTTCCATGCATACAAATCCTCATCATGACTCACTCGGGGTTCCATGACTCTTGGTCTCAATGCGCCAAGATCTTAGAGTCATATCGCTATATTACTCTCACTAAAGTTAAGAGCTATTTAAATGTCAGAATTTTAACGCCTTGCAAGGACATATTCCAACATAAATGGGGAGATAGAAGGAGAAATTTACATGAAACAACCAGAAGT